GATTCCAAACCTCTCTGTGGGACTCTTCAGGAAGCAGTTTGGAATTCAGTAGTTTCTGGTTGCTGTAACGGTACCATAGTGCCCATCCATACTAGCCCCCAAGACCTTACTGCCAATTAGCCCCCTTCCACACTGCCCTTTTCCTCCACGATCAGTGGATGGGGGTCCCTGCACAACTGGGAGAGACTCGTCAAACAGAAGAGCCCCCGCAGTGCCCTGGTTAAGAGTCTCCCAAAGACCCGTAAGTCGAAGACGTAGTCCCCAGTCTACAGCACTACCCCAAAGTAGTGGACTCTTCAGGAGTGTGGTGTGGTGGAAGGGTGTTAGGTCATTGACGGCATGCCCCGGCAGGGGGAGGGTATGGGTACCCTGGTCTCTACACTTCCTCTCTATTTCGCTCTTGGCTTCTTGCCCCCTGCTCCCACCAGGATGGTGCAGCCTCAGCACAGATGCAAAGCAGCAGAGCCAACTGCCCATGTACCGAAAGCGCTCAAGCTGGGGTACAAATAAACCTCCCCGCTTCTACATGGGTTGTCGCGAGAATTTTGGGATACTGATTTACACAGCTCCCAAATCGCTTAGAAGCAGGCCAGGTGCGGCTGACGGTTTTCTTTAGCAGATCTTCAAATGCGCTTGCATCTTACACCTTCCCCTGGAAGGAAATTCTCAGGGCAGGGCATGAAAGGAAACCTCAAAGTTGGAGGAGCTGGGGCCTGAGCATTGTGGCTGGCGAGCACAGCCTTGCGTATGCGCGTTACTGCGCAAGGTCGCTTAGCAGCCCTTCATCAGCAGCGCGCCCTTGCTGGCGCACACGAAGTACAGAATGTTCTAAAGCTGATGGGAAGAGCAGCCAATGTCCTGACAATTCATCTCTGGACTCTTTTTTTTTTTTTTTCTTGTTCTTCTTCTCTTCAGTAAGCAGCCAAAACACACTGCAAGCAAGCAGCTGCAAAGGTCATAGGGAAGCTTTTGCCATCTTTAAATAATTTCTTATTCACAGAAGAGGGACAAGTTGGAGCAGGGACAGGGCGTGATGTTTGTCTTCAGTGTCAACTTGAAAGGCATGAGACCTTTCTAGGCACAGCGACGCTGCCTCCTGCTCAGCCCTTATTTCTCTCCCACCAACATGTTAGCATTGCTCACTTAATTCCAGCGTATCATACTACCTTGGCATTATTGATTTTCTGGCTCTCATACACACAAGTGCTACCTGGTGGACTCTATCATTAAGGAATAACAAGCAAGAAACTGGCCTCTTGTTAGATAATTCCAAGTTTTATTGATCCATCACTTCTATCTCAGGGTACAAATCCAGGAACAATAAATCCTGAAAGTTAATTGAAAGCTGAAACCAAGAGCACATTCCCACACATCTGTAAGCCAGCCAGGCCCTTCTCTGTAACACGCGTGTGAATAAAGCATTCCATTTTGGCAGATAAAAATTCCCAGGAGGCGGTCTCTCTCTTTCCCCTTTAAAATAAAGAGGGCCAAGATCTAGCAGGGAGGCGAAAGACTGTATTCTTCTACACACAGGGTTTCGCGGACTTCTGAGGAAGGTGCTGTTTCATTTGTTCTGTGGCATCCTGCCCCGGCCAGCAGGGCACAGCGATGGTCTAGCCCGCCCACGGGAACCTGGAATGACGGGCAAGGGACGCGTGAAACGGACAGCAAGACAACATGGCTGACCAAGCTGCATATACTGAGAATCTCGCGCAGGCTTAAATAGGGGAAATGAGGGAGGGGTTTGGGGCAGAGGAATGCAGGACAACGAGGGAGGGGTCGTTGCCTAGCAACCAGGCCACTGAAGTTGCCCACAGGCGTGGGCAAGGTGAAAGGGTCGCAGAGGGAGGGGTTGTTTGTGGATGTTTCCTTTTTTTTCCACTGGTTATCTCTGTGAACCCCGGTTCTATTCATTAGGAACCTGGGGAGGGGATGGACTATTCTTTAAAAAGGCTGGCAGTATTTGCAAGAGGTTCTAAATAACAATGAACGCTCCGATGGTGTTCAAGAGCAGACAGAGCCATCCACTTCCCCCTGGCTGCCATTCAGCTCAGTTTCCTGATATTGATTGGAGGCAGGGCTACCACTGCCTCACTTGGAAGACAAAAGATACAACCTGGAGGGAAATTTAAGGTCACTGAAATATGGGTAGCCCAACAGAGGAGAAAGTGGAAGGGGCTGCCATTCATTGTCCTCGATCAAAATTACAAACTGACACCAAGAGCCACATAGGAACAGGCTGGCATTCCAGTCAACTATACGTGGAAATAAACAGGGAAATGCAAATATTTTGGGAGGGGGACGCGATGGACAAGATGCTTCTGGTCTGTGCCCCCCCCCCCCGTGCATGGCATGGTATACCTAGAGGGAGGTTTGTGACAAGGTAGTAGAAGTCTCTCCTTTTGTTTAAGTAATATTTGCTAATGCAACCATTAGGCTGTTCAGCCTAATGGTTAGAGTGTTTAGAAGAACAGCTCTGTGAATTCTTAGCAACCATTCTCTTCTTACTGAGCCTGGTTCTTCTTCCTTGAGGCTATGTTCTCTCAAGAGTTTCCCTTAGCTGTCATGCATAATGGCTGCTATAACATCGTCCTGCAGGTAACCAGATAAATCTGAACCCCAACATTAGCCAGAGGTCAGGTAGACCAGGGCTTCCTCCTATCCACAAGTAGAGAAAGTCTTCCCAAGTCCTCAGAAACGATGCCCCACGATGTCATGTGCCTCTAGGGTGGGGAGCCAACACCCAAGGTGATCTTCTCCCATCTGTCTGTGTCATCTGACCTAACATGTCCACAAACTGTCAAGGGGCGGTGTGTTTCTGTCTTCTTAAAAGTGCCTCAAAGTTTGAATGAGAAAGTCAAGAGGAAAGGATAGGCTCAGGGTGCTTGGTGGGATCTTCCAGCTTCTCCTTGTCCTTCCCTTCTTCTGCCGATCAGACTGGCCGGCTCATGAAAGTCAGGAAGCACACGCGCACACACACACACACACACACACACACACACACACACACACACACACGCACGCACGCACGCACGCACGCACGCACGCACGCACACACACACACACACACCACACACACACACACACACACACACAAGCTCTGTTTCATTTCTCTGTCTCAAAGAGGTCAAGGAGCAAGGGAGAGAGGAGGCAGGAGTTTTGCTTCTGCACTTGTTGACGGCTGAATCCCAGGCCCCATTCTCATATCTACTTCGTAAGAGGTCAGCATTTCCCCTGTGTTGTGTCTTCACACCTTGCTCAACACTGGGGAGTTCACAGAATAGCTCTAGGTGACTTAAGGACTTGGGGGGTGCCTGATGATGTTCTTGGTGATTTTCATATTTTAAATTTATGGTCAAAATAGAAAACAAATATTTTATGTTACCAGAAATTGTAGGTTTGGAAAATACAGTTTAGCATTTATTACACTGCTTCAAGTCTTGCAAGATGTAAGAATGCTTTCTTCTATTTTACAGAGAATTTATTTCTATGTAGCATATAGCGCCATTTCCTTAATCATTCATATACTCTTTTACTTACCCAGTCATTTCCCTACCCATCCATCTACCCATCCATCTACCCATCCATCTACCCATCCATCTACCCACCCATCCATCCTTTGTTTTTTCTGTCTTCAAACTGAACGACATCCGTCTTTTTGTCTTTGTGCTAAAGGGACGTGCCAAAAATCAAAGTGAGCAGGATAAGGAAAAAACACTTCTGCTTCTTTTCCTTGGATTATTCCTTCTGTGTTTGTCAGGACCCCACTAGAGAAACAGAAACAGGGGGTAACACGGGAGATATTTGCTGGGGAGGTAACGCACTAAGAGATGTACTGGAAGGAATGGCTTGTGTAACTGTGGGGACAAGCCAGGGAGGTCCAAAATCCCATAGAGCAGCCTCAGGGCAAACCAGCTGGAGTACTCAGGTACCAGCTGAAGCCTTGAGCTCAGACAGACCTCTTCCTCCTTGAGGAAATGCCAGCTCCACCCTCAGCCTTGCGGCAGGACCCAGGATACTCTCGGTTGCCTAAAGCCATCTGATTATGGTCTTCAGTTACAGGCACAAAATTCCTTCATAGCAATGCCTGAACGAGTGTCAGGAGCCAGGCTGACACATAAAGCTGATTGTCACATCGTCCGCAGGAATCTTACTTCCCTGAAACTCTAGACCTCCCTCGTCCTATGTCAGCCCTTCAAACCATAATCACACTTTGGGACCGCAATCCGTATTTTAAGATCCATAAACACAAAAGCCTCTGTCTTCAAGCTTTCCTACCCCCATGTCCACACCGAGAGTTTAGTCATGTCTGCTGCGTCTTGTCAACTGCTCCTTCACTCCCCGTGTACTCAGTCTGAGTCACATTCCACCGTCCCGGCCAGTGATGCTACCACAGGAGTATGCCCACGGTGACACGGTGACACTTCCTCTTGACCTGCCCATCCTTTAATGTCACTGCTGGGGAGTGTCCACAGGCATCTCTTCTCTCTCTCTCTCTCTCTCTCTCTCTCTCTCTCTCTCTCTCTCTCTCTCTCTCTCTCTCTCTCTCTGGCTTGTGCTGATGAGTCCTTCTGTCTTCCTGCACCCCCCAACCCCCCCACCCCCCGACCCGGCACTTCTCCACGTGTGAAGCCTCCAGCCATCTTTCTTCCGAGGTGCCCTGGTGCTATATGGACTGATGTCACAGGATGCACGCTGTAGGAGGAAAACAGAACTCCACCATTAACCATGTGACTTACTAGAGGCGCACACAGATGAGGTAATAAAAGGGTGGTTTCCCACACGGCTAACCACACCCACTTTAGGCATGACTAAAGACGTATACGGACATAGGCGGTGAACTACTTCACTAGCCAAGCCCACTTTTGGGCATGGCTAGGGGGCGTTACGGAGGAAGGTATAAAAGACTGAACAGCGGAAGTCTCGCTCTCTTTCCAGCTTTCCGGCTTCCAGTTTGGAGGTGGAAAACTACTCGGCTCATCTGGGTTACTTGTTGGCCTCTTGTGAGTAATTTCTACAGTAAATACTTACTTTTACTTTCAGTAAGCGTGCCGTTTATCCTTGCAGCATCAGCACTCTTTCCTTACCTCTCCACGTGTGAAGCCTCCAGCCATCTTTCTTCTGAGGTGCTATATGGACCAATGTCACTCCCTCCTCTTTCCAAACGGCCGCATGTCTTTCCTCCCTGCCCTGCTTCCCCTCCACTTGCAGAACTGATCCCTTCATTCTACAGCCCGAAAGCAACCCCCTCACTTGTACGAACTGTCCCAAGTCTCCCCTCTCTTCCGGAGTCCTCATTCTCATCCCATCGGTCCTCTTTCTGTGTCCTTCGAGTTCCTCATCCTCTTTACGTTTCTTTCCATCTTCAAAAATGTGGGCAGAACTTTCTGTTCTAAAAGAAGTCCAAGAGAACAGAATTCCCTCCATGTTCCCATTCCTACTGGAGCTCTATTCCCTTGTCAGATATCCTTGGAGACCAAACTATCTACCTTCACCTGCCCCCAGCTCCTTGATTCCCCCTGGAAACTCAGAATTACCTTGAGTACCATGATTCATCAGTCATCCAACCCAATGGCTTTTTCCTGGTTAGGATTTTGCCATCTTGACACAAGCTATAGTGACATAAGAAGAGGGACATCAGCTGAGAAAATGCCTCAGTCTGCTGGCCTGCAGGTGAGTCCCAGGGCCTTTTCTTGACTGACAATTCATAGAGACTCCAGCCTACTGGGGTGGTGCCACCCCTAGGTAGGTGGTCCTGGGTGGTATAAAGACGCAGGCTGAGAGCAAGCCATGGAGAACAAGACAGTTGGCTGTCTTCCTTCAAGGCCTCTGTTTGAGTTTCAGACTCCAGTCTCCTACCTGAAGTTCCTGCCCCGACTTACCTTCATGATGGGCGTATACTCTGTAAGATGAAATAAACCCCTTTCCCTTCAAGTTGCCTTGGCCATGGCATTAGGCACAGCAATTGCAAGCGTAGCAAAACAGGCTTTCTATAGCAACTGATGGATGACTACTCTGTTCTCCTTTCCTAGATCTCCCTTGACTGTTTGGACCACCCCTTGCCGTCCTCCTCTTAGGAGCAATTCCTTCATAGATCAGTGACAGATTGCGGGCACATACATCTTCAAATGGGGTACTTATATTCAACGGGCTTCACCAGGGCACTCTAGAAAAATGGAGATACTGGACAACCAGGGTGTGTGTAACTGAAAATATCATTTAAAAAATCATTGCAAGGACACTTTGTGTAGAAATCAAAATTGGCTGACAGATTTAATATGAACCACAAGCCTTCCAAGAAATACCATATATTTAGGGAATGCTGTAAGCCAGTGTTTCTCAACCTTCCTAACGTGGGACCCTTTAATACAGTTCCTCATGTTGTGGTGACTCCCAGCCATAAAATTATATCCACTGCTACTTCATAACTGAAATTTTGCCACTGTTATGAATCATAATGTAAATATCTGTGTTTTCTGATGGTCTTTTGGAGGTCATTATCTGTCACGTCTGCTGCGCGGCCTGTGTCCGAGAACGTGCGGAGGGTGTCGGGGATTGACAACACAGAGACTCGTTCAACGATGTAAAGAAAACTTTAAACAGGCTCCAAAAAGGTTCAAGAAAACTTCCTAAGAAAGGCTCCCACCAGAGAAGCTTCTGCTCTCTCCTCTCCCCTGGCTGGTTCTGCTCTGACACCAGAGGTGGATGTGTGTGGGTTTTTGAAGGTGCGGTTAGTCTCTGGACAAGGTCGAGGTCAGGGCGGTTTCCGTGGGAAGGCCTTTCCCAGGAACTTATTGTATCATTTTTAGTAAACATGTTTTTACTAAACATTGTCTTACAGCTGCCTACTCCCAGGCAGAAGGGGAAGTGGCCAGGAACTTATTGTATCGCTTTTAGTAAACATGTTTTTACTAAACATTGCCTTACAGCTGCCTACTCCCAGGCAGAAGGGGAAGTGGGTCTCTGCTCAAGGTCTGGTGTTCCCACAATTATCCACAAGTTGAACTGCCATACCCTCCAAACCTCATATATATGTCTTCACTGTCTTTGGTTGGCAGATTCATCTTAGTGGAAAAGTTTCACAAACACCGAAAATGACTTGCCATCATGGCAAGTCTATGACAGAGGCATAATTACTCAGTTTTCCAGGTAAGGAAATGCGATGTATGGCAGGTTTTTAGACTAGTGTGGGGTTTGGTTATCTGGTGCTGTATAAAATCCACAGCACACTCAGAGGCATGAAACAATGACCCATTTGGTTATTTCAAATGATCACATGAGTGGGCTAGGGCTCAGCTGGACCATACTCTTACGGACATCACTTGGGATTTAATCACGAAGCTTCATCAGATGGTGGCTGGGGCTGGAATGTCTTTGATGGCTCACATGCACATCTAACACCTGACAGGGACAAGCTAAAAGGTTGGCCTCAGCTGTGTTGCAGGGGTGTCTGGCTCTCTCCCCATACAGTCTCCAGACCTCTCCCCTCTGTATGTGAAGGGTACTAGGATTTCTTATAGGGTGTCTGAAAACTCCCTAGAGAGCAAATGACTGCTTAGAGCTTAAGCTCACCACTGCCAACATATTCTGTTGCTTAGTGCAAACCACAGGCCCAGCTCAGGTTCAAAGGCTGGGAAGCCTGTTCCCCAAGGAATGGCCAGTATGAGCAGCTGCTGCACTTGTCTGAGAAAAGAAACTGTAATTCAGTGAAGCAGCATGGAGGGGTATGGTATGGCCAAATGAACATGTGTGGGGTGGTGCACTTGGCTTAGTGGTCACATGTGGAGGTAAGAGATTGACACTGGGTATCTTTTTCAATCGCTTCTCTGCCTTATTATTATTTTTTTTTGGAGATAGTGCATCTTGGTTTACAAAGAAGCAAGAAAATGTGACCCATTTCTCCAGTAAAGGACAATCAATATATTTTAGTGCCGACTCCAAGATAATGTAGATATTGCATTTGTTGGAGAAGAATGTTACCATAACTCTCATACATATTTTCATTTAATCAGCTTGTTACTTATGTTTACATCACTGTAACCAACACCTAACAAAAAACCCTGAAGGGAGGGAGGGAGGGAGGGCTTATTTTAGAGTAGGAAGCAGAGCTTGCAGGCTAGAGCCATGGGCCCATCTAACTTTCAAAGACCCTCCCTTAGGGATCTACTTTTTCTACCTACATTCTATGTGTTATAGCCTTCAAAATATCACCACCGACTGGGGAAGAAAAACTAAAAATGAGCCTTTGTGGGAGAGTTCATTTCAAGTCATAACACAGGCTTAAAAATTGCTTACTTATTTATACTCATTATCTGTATGGTAGCATAACAAAATGTCCACCAGTAAAGAAAGGGGAATGAGATGAGTTTATAATTCCTAAAATAAAAATAACAACTACTAGACATATATATATATATATATATATTTGTCTCACTAATCTTAAGGAAAGTTATGATATCACTTCTTGCCAATTATTCACAGAACTTTGATTGCTAGTGGTCAATTTTAGCTGAGAAGATAGAAAAAATGGGCATTCATTCACACATCATATGTAAAAATCAGCTGATTTGACAATAAACTGTGAAACAGTCCAACCGGTTTGGAAAGTACTTAGTAATATGTACCAGGAGCTTAAAAAATCATATTGAGCATAGTAACACCAATTTAGGACATTTACGTAAATTAACCTTCTCATTGTTGCTCATCACCAAGTTATGCAACAGTAAAATAGTCTTAAAGTTAATGCTGAGAAAAACAGCTGATCCAGAATTATTGAGTAAACTGAGTTACACTAATATGGAAGAAAATTGTACAGTCATTGAAATATGGCTAAGGACATTATGGAGCAACACTGGTACGTATAAGTGAATTAAGAGGCCAAAGCAGTATATGCCTACTATAACAGTAACTTTCTAAAATGCATTTCAAAAATAAGCCAAAATGTAGATAGTACTTACTTGAGGGAGCTAGTATTATGAGTAACCACCCCCCCCCCATTTTGAACTGTAACGTGTTGAAGAGGAAGATGTCAAAAAATAGTACCTGGGCTTTGATTGTGAGAGGTAGAGAAGTGAAGGGTGCTCAAGGTGTTTGGTGACTTTAGTCATCTGTGGCTGGGAGGAGTTGAGCCTGTCACCAATGCGTATAGAGAAAGGACAAGGACCATATCTCAAGGATGGTCTCTCTTCAAGACTCATCGGCCCTCCTCAATCCTGTAAACCTCAGAAGTAAGAGAAATCAAGCAGGTAACAATTGATGTTTACTCCTAGAGCAATGAGCTGCAGCATTCCTGGAGTGGAATAAACTTCCTAAAGACTACAGATTAAAGAGAGCACACCTGGAAAGACCCCTCAGTTGGGTGTAAGAAGAACAAGAAAGAGGGACAAGAAGAAAAGTCAGAAGCCTTAAAGAGCTGAATTGAGGGACCAAAGAAGCAATAACTGAGGGGGTTAAGTCTTTGCGGTGCGACATGAGGACCTGAGTTCAAATTCCCAGCACACACTTCAAAGAGCTGGTTGTGATAACATCCCTCTGCAACCCTTGTGCTGGGAGACAGAGACAAGAGACCCACAGGCTTGCTGGTCAGCCCTGGTCTAACTGAAACAGGGAACTCTAGGCTATGCGTTATCAAACTTGTGTGAATAATTAGCAAGAAGTGATATCATAATTCCAGTTCACAGTTTTTTGAAGAATTGTGAGACAGAGGTATGCAATTGTTTACTAATTATACTTTTTACTTTAGGAATTACAAGTCCATATCATTCCCCTTTCTTTATTGGTGGATATTTTTTATGCCACGGTACATATAATGATTCTAAATAAATAAGCAATTTTTTTTTGGTTTTACGAGACAGGGTTTCTCTGTATTGTTTTGGAGGCTGTGGGTCCAGCCCAGCCTCGAACTCACAAAGATCCGCCTGCCTCTGCCTCCCGAGTGCTGGGATTAAAGGCGTGCGCCACCACGGACCTGCTATAAATAAACAATTTTTAAACCTGTGTTTGACTTGAACTGAACTCTCCCCCATAGGCTCATTTAGGCTATGGAATCTTAGAGAGTTAGAGTCTAGACAGAAAAAGTAGGTCCCTAATTGAGGGCCTTTGCAAGTTAGACCTGTCCATGGAATATTCTAGCTTTCATGCTCAGCTTCCTAGTTCAAAATAAGCCTGCCTCCCTCCCTTCAGTGTTTTCTTGTCAGCTGTTGGTCACGGGGGTGTAAGTGTAAGTAACCAAATTAACTGAACACAATATAAGAGTTTCTGTAATGTTCTTTCTGTCAAGTCCAATATCTGTACTGTCTTGAAGTTATCACAGACACACATTGATTTATCTGAGATATGGTTATCATTTTCTTGCTTCTTTGTAAATCAAGAAACCTTCTCCTGTGGTTAACTAATGCAGCCCCAAGAGAGCCCACATTCACTGAATTCTTGTGAGAATTTATCTTGTGAGAAAAATGCCAACCTCACTAGAGACCTAACAAGCGTGTTGATGTCCTACCATCTTTCAAAAGTGTACATACAGTCAGTCAGATTTAAGCATGAGTTTTAGAGGGGACAAATCACTGCAACCACTTCATAGCATTGTCAATGTAGAACCTAAGGTCTGCTGTTGTTATTCTTAGCTGTTTTAGTTTGGTTTTAACTCTAGTTTGGTGAGTTCCATGAGTAGAAGTAGGTTCCTAAAGCAAATCTAGAACCAGCGCTTGATTTGGTAGATGCCACACATTTCCAAAGGCAATGGAACTTTCCTGTGCTTGTCAGGGTCAATTTAATTTTGATGCCTGGTACAGGTTGGAGACTCTTGTTCCTTCTTGGTCAAACACCATGAGAACACTGGTGGCATCACTAATGTCCCATGTTCTGATATGAACACATGGACTTTGATGAGAGCATAAGAAGCTGGGAACCATCCTAGTTTCCTCTGTTACACAGTTGGTCACCACTTGGTAAGCCTGATAAAATGAGCCTTGCAAAAGTCCCCAAGAGAGCAGTACTGTGGAGCCACGCTGGAAGTCCATTCATGGCTATCTTTACCACTGGTGGGCTTACTATATATACACACATACATATGTGTGTATGTGTATGTATATATATGTATATATATTGAATTATATATATATATATATCATTCAACATTCAGCCCACTCCAAAATAATGACTGTGTTGGTTAACCATTGGAAACCACAGAACTCAGAAAAAAATTTATGTGTGCCCACATGATACTGGGTCTCACAGCTGGCCTCATGCTTAATCATTCCACAGTCTTCTTTTATCATTACACAAATCATGCATGTTGATGCATGACAGATATCTGACTCACTCGAAGCAGCTTCCCCAGCAACTTTTTGACCTTCTTTGAGGACACAGAATGGTAAATCCAATGCTATATTATTGATACATTACTTGACAGTCATTAAACCCTGTTATAACATCAATTAGCCTTTTCTGGAACAACAAAAACTCAGTTCTTCTGCCTAAGAATCAACATCCCAGGTTGTAAAATAGGATATTACACAGGAGACATGGGTGAGATGACACAGCTCTAAGCTGCGGCCCTGAGTCTCCTGTCTGTAGATAAGGAGAGAGGATTCTCATTGGTTCTTATGCCTCTTTCCTTCCTTGAGAAGCAACATCAATAGAAATTCCTCTTTCACTTGAAGTCAGTATTCCTTAAGAGTTATTAGCTTCTTGGAGACTGACAGAGACTTATGACTGGACCAGAAAACACAATGCAGGATGAGAGTGAGGATTTCAAACTTTGGGAGGTCAGACTATATAACAACTAATACAAATGGCTGGAAAACTGGGGAGAAAGAAAACTAACTAGTGTGTCCTATTCTGTCTCTGTGTGGTATGGAGACCCCAAGGAGGTATCCAGTGTAGAGAGGAAGTCACCCAATGTTGAAAGAATCTGCCACTGCTGCATGCTACAACGCATACAAAGCTACAAGCATACTCTTGTAATTTTGGAGTTCTTCACATAGCATGGTAATAAATGATATATTTGTTACTTTCAGGTCACTGTGACCAAAACCAGACAGAAACAACCAAAGGGAGGGAAGGTATAATTAACCATCACATCAGAGAATGCTTGATGGAGGGAGTAGCTAAGTTCATGGTGACAAGAGCCCATGGTAGAGGCTAGTCACGTGTTAAAGGACCAGAAACACAGAAAAACTGGGCCAGAACCAAGGGTAAGGATAAGCTTCCAAGGCCATCCTCTAGTGACTCATTTTTACCAGCTGAGGCTTACCTGATTAAGTTCCTGTCTTCCAAAAGAGCTCACAAGCTGGAGAAAAAATTATTCAAAATACAGGCTGTCTTGCTTAGGGCTACTATTGCTATGATGAAACACCATGACCAAAGCAGCTTGTAGAGGAAAGGGTTTGTTTAGCTTGCTCTTCCATATCACTGTTCATCCCTGAAGGAAGTCAGGACAGGAACTCAAGCAGGGCAGGAACCTGGAGGCAGGAGCTGATGCAGAGGCCATGGAGGGTGCTGCTCACTGACTTGCTCATTGTGATTTGCTGAGCCTGCTTTCTTATAAAACTCAGGACCAGCAGCCCAGGGATGGAAACTACCCACAATGGGCTGGGCCCTCCGCCATCAATCACTAATTAAGAAAATGGCCTACAGCCAGATCTTATGGAGTACATTTTCTCAATTGAGATTTCCTTCTTTAAGATGACTCTAGCTTGTGTCAAGCTGACATAAAACTAGCCAGTACACAGGCTAATGGGGGACATTTACAACTCAAACTATAATGAATAGTGCTATAATAAAAACATTCAGATAATTTTAATCACAGCACCCATTTAGATATGATAGGAAAATTAGGAAAGGAATTGAGGAGTCTCTCATGTCTTTTCTCATACTTGAACATTTTTTCCACTTTTTTTCAGCTGCAAATCCTGTGAAATGTCATGAGGCTCATTATATAATAGAGCTGAGGGTGCTTGATAAACTGTTGAAGCACTGGGTCATAATAAGGTGATGTTACTACAAAAGATGAAGCTTGCATTTCTTTACCCCACCCATAACTGACAGCTCAGATTCCCTCCCATAGAAGCTGTATTGATCTATCTACTTTGCAGTTGGCCCTCTGTGTCCATGGCTTCTGCGTTTGTGGATTCAACCAATTCAAGATTGAAAATTGGAGCGAGAGGGAGGATATATATATATATCTTTATTCTTGTTGATGTTTGTGACATTTTATTAGGTATTATTATATGCAATCTAGATTCCATATGATGGATGTTGTGGGTTGAATGAAAATACTTTACCGTTTTCTAGAAGGAACTTCAGCACCTGAAACCAGACTCCTGTGGCCGCGAAGGGATCATGTTGCTATTTACAATTTGCCACCTCTCCAGCCCAATCTCAGGGCTCCAGTCTTCATTGAATTGCCTATTTGAAATGTCCATGGGAGTTAGCGCACTGAGGACTCTACAGGACCAGAGGTGAACTCAAATTCTTCTTCCTCAAAGCTGGCCCTCTTTCAAGCAGCCCTTCCCTCAAGGAATGCTGCCAGCTTCCATCATAATAAGCACACCAGAAACAGCCATCACAGCCACCTCCCCTTCCGTTGCCAAGTTCTATCGCTGGGAAGAGACACCATGAGCATGGCAACCCTTATACAGAAAAAGATTTAATTGGGGCTGGCTTACAGTTTCAGAGGTCTAGTCCATTGTCATCATGGCAGGAGGCGTGGCAGCCCGCAGGCAGACATGGTGCTGGAGAAGAAGGTGAGAGTTCTGTATCTTGATCCACAGGCATCACAAAGAGAACTGTGTACCACACTGGGCACAGCTTGAGCATAAGACCTCAAAGCCCACCTCCACAGTGACACACTTCCTCCAACAAAGCCACACCTCCTAATAGTGCCACTCCCTATGGGCCAAGCATTCAAACACATGAGTCTATGTGGCCATACATATTCAAACACCACATTGCACTCTCTAGTCTCTGTAAACTTGTAGCCATAATATAATGCAAAATGTATTAGTCTGATTTCAAAAGTCCCCATAGTCTATCACAGTCTCAACCTTGCTTAAAAGCCCAAAGTCTCTTCTGAGACCCATGAAGTCTCTTAACTGTGATCTCCTATAAAATAAAAATCAAAAAGAGGTCATATACTTCCAACATAATGGCACAGGTTATACATTACCACCCCAAAATGGAGGAAAGAGAATATACTAAGGAAATACTGAACTAAAGCAAGCCTGAAAACCAGTTGGGCAAACTCCAAACTCTGTGTCTCCATGTCTGATTTCTAAATGCTCAGCTTTGTGACTGCAATAATTTCCTTCTCTTGGACTGGCTCTACTCCGTGTTAGCACCTCTCTTCAGCAGGTATCCCAAGAGCCCGGCATCTTGGCATCTCTAGGCAATCAGGCTTCAGCTTCACCACTTCACCACTCTAGGCCTTCATGGAGGGACACCCCTGCCACACCCCTGCCTTGGCAGCTTTCCTCAGTCACAGAGGAAGCTTCTATCGTCTCTTTCTTCTATCCTTGACTCTAAAGACAGAACCACAGGCTAAAGCTGTCACTGTACCACGTTACTGTAGGAGTTGTGCTTTAAATAGCGCCAGATCCTCCTTTCTTTCTTTTTGTTGTTTTGTTTATTTTTCTAGACAGGGCTTCTCTGTGTGGCCCTGAACATCCTGGAACTTGCTCTGTAGTCCAGGTCCCATTTCTATCCCACAGACAGATGGTGACTCTCCCTCTGCAAGGCCATCTACCTGATCTCTAGTCTTGCCATGGCTACACACACTTCTTCACAACACTCCTAACATCGTTTCTTGACTCTCCCCTTCCCGTCCACGTGTTTACCTTTATCAACACGA